AACTGACAAACGTAATTTTTTGCTTTTACAGTTCAAGTTCTTCTGATGAAGAGGAATGTGATGCAAAAGAGTTGAAGAAGCAACTAACCTTGGCAAAAGATGAAATTCAAGTGAAGACCTTGTAAGTAGACCGAAGATCTGATGCTATATAGGCAGCTTGTAATATATTTCAAACCATTTATATCTCTACAATAAGTTTAATTTTGCAATTCATTGCACGGGTATATTTTTTAAGGATAAATTTTCAAAGGGTAGGTAAATCATGATAAAAATGGGGATTTAAAAACATTGTCACTTGAATCAGGTAAATCATAGATGAAAGAAAACCCAAACTTTTGTTTTGTTTTGCAGGCATATCAACATTCATGTGCGAGAGATCAAACGACTGGAGAAGTTGAACTCTGAGCTGACTGCTAAAAACAACAGGCTTGATCGGTCAGTCTTTTTTTACTCTTCTGTAGAAATAATTCTTTTCTTTGAAATTAGATATCACATCATGGTATGTTCGATCTAGATTTTACTATGGACACTGTGAGTGCAAGGTATGTAACCACCAACTCTGTCAGTTAGTTGATTATTTAAAAAGTAGATGGTGCAATTTTTTATGTAGGAGCTCTCTCTTTTTTATGAAGAAGGAGCTCTTGTTTTCTAAAGTTGAGGAATTCTAGCTGGCCTAATGACTGTATGTTACACATATTTTCTACATTTCGTACAGCGCACAGTCGTCACCAGGCAAAAGGCAGCAGTTCGAAATGTAAGTAACAGCATTTTGTAAATTACTATCATTATATATGTACTTTTTCGAAGAGTATGGCTACTTAGATTCCATAATTAAGATTCTCAACTTTCAGAACAAAGGTACAGAATTATAAGTACACTAGAAAATTTGCCATTCATAGCAAGTCTCATTACAATAGGAAACACAACGCATTGATTTTGAAACTTTTAAAATCTTTCATAAAATGTGTGGCATTAGTAGTCACTCATCACACAATTATCTTCCTTTTTTTGTTTACTCAATAGTTTTAAATCTTTCCCCGGAAGTTTACACTGGAACTTAAACCTCTATCACCAACAGGCTGAATACTGCACTGAGGCATGAAGTACAAGAGCTCAAGGCAAAGCTCGAACACTCCATTGACGAAAGTGACGAGTAAGGAAATACTTATTTATTCTGCTGATCTAGCTATTTACTCTGCTTTTATCTAACGTTGCATGTATATTTAGGTATTGGAAATCGGTTTAGACAAGAGAAAAAATGCCTATCCACTTTTGTGTATAGCTGTTACTTGGAGGTGAAGTATTTTTCAGACGTATCTCTCTCTGTCCGTCGCTCGCTCTCATTGTGTGCATCTCCAACTGCTGTGCTTAAAAATATGTGTATAATGAAACGTCATCGTGACATTAGATCAAAATCAATTTAAAAACCCGAAATTCCCCAAGCAACTTATCCTTTGTCCTTTATGTTTCAGCATAATCCTGCAGTTGGAAGATAAACTGGCGGGTGCAAATACCAGGTGCAAGAACATGTGGTCCCTCTTCCGAGAAGCAAGCAGGTACGTCAAAACTAGAAATGTCTGACCCAACAGAAAGGGGTCCAGACTGTCTGAAATAGTGAGAAATCCAATGATAACATAGTCAAAATCTCTGGGATATTCAACTAAAAGCGTATTAGCACTACCTAGGGCGATAACAAACTATATCATAACCTCTCAATTGTTCTTTACATGAATGATTTTTCATTCACTTTAATCAAATATTTTTCTCACATTTTTCACACTTGTAGCGAACTGGAAGAGATGAAGAAGGCAGCAGAAGAGTTTAAGATGACACAGAGGTGTCTCGAGGCCGACATTCGATACGAAGAAGAGAAAAATGGGAAACTGAAAAGGTATGCAACGCCATTTTCTTACTAAGGTTACTTCTCAGAAGACATTATTTGATATACATATAAGAAATGTATTGTACATGATAAAAACCAATCATGTTAACCAATGAGTTTTTCTTTCTATGCTTGTCATAGGGAGCTGGAAGAAACAAAGAAAACATCTGAGAAATTTCCAGAAATGAAAGAGTTACTTGAGGCTTCTGTTGAACACGAGCGAGGTGAAAACGCAAAACTGAAAAGGTATGAAATGTTTTGAAATATAGATTTTGGTCAATTTTTTGCACAAAATTGACAAGAACGGATAGTTATATTCTATTTATCTTTGTAAACTAACTAACTTGAATTCATGTTTTGTTGGGTGTTGCAGGGAACTGGAAAAGGCAGAGAACGCAGCAAAAGACTTTGCAAAGATGAAGGAGTCTCTTCAGGCTGACGTTCTACACGAACAAGCCGAAAATGCAAAACTGAAAAAGTATGTATTCGCTGACAGAGCTTAGTATGTAAATTAGTCCTTATAAAAAGGACGTACCTAACTCGACAGTGGACAGCTCGTTTAAATTTTTTTTTTCTTTTGAAACAATTTTCCTCTCAACGAAATAACTCTATAACCATGGCAAAGTATTTTTAAAAATATTATACAGATATGTTATGGCTGTAATCCATTTATCTTATTGTTCTAGGGAGCTGGAAGAGACAAAAAGTGCATCAGAAGGACTAGCAAAAGTGAAGGAATCTCTTCAAGCCACAGTAGAACATGAACAAAAGGAAAGTGCAAGGCTGAAAAGGTATGCATTAGTTTGTAATATGTTAGCATAGAACTATTTCCTAAAATAGATGCCAAGTATTCTCATTGTCATTGAACCATATTCAATCCAGTTGACCGACAAGTACATGTTTTTCCCTTGTAGGGAACTGAAAGAGACAAAGAAGGTGTCCGAAGGATTTGTGAAAGTGAAGGAGTCTTTGCAAGCGACTGTTCAACATGAACAAGAAGAAAATGCAAGACTTAAAAGGTGTGTATTTCTTGCAATAGATGTTGCGTTGGATTATCTAGTTTGCGGATAACGTTATATTATGAATGCCATGTAAACGTCTACTTAATTTTGCGTCCAATTGCTTTGTTTTGACTCAAAGATGGATTTTCTAAAGCCATGTCTTCTTTAAAGGTTCTTTTGGCTATATTTTGAAGTCTTCTTTTATTCCGAAAGGGAGCTGGAAGAGACTAAGAAGGCTTCAGAGAGACTGGTAGAAGCAAAGGAGTCCCTTCAGGCAACTGTTCTACAAGAACAAGAAGAAAATTCTAGGCTGACAAAGTATGTTTCTCATGTTTTCTGTACTCTGATTTTGACAAATTGTGACTCTTAAAAATCATGTTTTTATGTATTCTTAAACGTTCTTTATTATATGTTAAAGGGAACTGAAAGAGGCAAAGAATGCAGCAGAGAGGTTCGCAAAAGTAAAGCAGTCTCTCAAGGCTGAGATGCAGCATGAACAAGAAGAAAATGCAAGGCTAAAAAGGTATGTTTTCGCTGCAATGAACAATCTTCAACGATTCCCTGTTTTATGTATGTAATGTTATAAAGTTTGTAATGTAATTGAACAATGACTGGCTGTTCATCATAAGCAAGGAAGCATGTTTAACTCTCATATTTGTCATGACAGAGCACTCGAGGAGTCCAAGTTGGCCAGAGAAAATCACGTGAAACAGAACAAGACCGAGCTACGTGCGATGCTTAGAGAAGAGCTGGGGTAAGAAGTTTTAGGAGAAGCATGTGCACGTGAATCTCACTCATCAAAAGATTTCTTTCAAGTCTTTTTACGTACTTAAATCATGATGCTATATAAACATTGATAGCGTTTTTCCTTGGCTAATGTTTTGATTACATCACAGGAAACTGGAAGTGCTTCAAGGTGCCTACAGCAACAAGCTTGATGCACTTAGGAAGGAGAATGACGCCCTGGAGCGTTCAGTCAGCTCTCTCTCTGACAGGAACAACGATCTCACCAGGTAAGTACATCATACTATTATGTTTCCTATCCAGGTTTTACACACTCCTCGTATCATTTTTCTGAATAATAGGAACAGTACCTTTCCCATGTTTTTGCATTTATTATACATCCAGTCATAAGCTACGTTTGTGTTCTTTATAAGTTAAACTGCGTTTGTTTGACACAGTGAGCTGGCAGAGGCAAAGAAGGTTGTTTTGGAGAAAGAGACTCTGGAGATAACTGTGAAGAAATTGACTTTGGTCAACAAGAAACAAGCAAAGTAAGGACCTATCTTGTATATGTATTTTCACGGAATATATGTACTTTCACAGAATTATTATCAGTTGCATAATGCCTTGCAACAGTGTCACTATAAAATATACAATTATTCATATGTACTACGTGGTTGCAGAAAGCTGGATGTCGCAAAAAAGGCATACACCAAAGTTGCGAGGACACTGGAGAAGCTGCAAGAAGATTCATCTTCAGTTGAGTCTCTGGGGCTGCCAAAGGGCAACAGCACGATCGCTGGGTGAGTGTAACATGTAGCTCTATTACCACAAATGTTGGTCTTGTATGACAGATGAACAGTCATTCAAATTTTGTCCAAATGATAAATATTACTGCGGCACTACTACATAGTATTGAAGAGTAAGTAAGAATGCTTGTGACCTGAATACTTCTGACCTCAATGTTCTAAGAAAATGCGGTGGTTTAGAATGCTATTTGGTAATCTTAACATTTGAAGATATGTTTATTGTCCCTTCTATTTGCTTATTTTTTTCACAGTGAACTGGAGTCCAAGAAGGCCTTAAGCAACATGGTTGATGTGTTGAAAGAAGAAAACGAGGCACTGCAGTCTTCAGTTGGCCTCCTGTCGGAGCGATGCAGCAATCTCATGAAGTGAGCTCCTCTTACTCTTTACCTCTGACGAATGTCCAGCTATTTCAAATTAATCTATTGACAGACTCTCGAGGTTTTGTCTATAAAATGTAAATCCTCTCCTTGACTGTTGCTTATACAAAGATAACTATATTGCTTTGTATTCAACTATAAATCTACATGTATTTGCTGACATAGGGAGCTTGCAAACCTCGATATAGCTGCACAGGAAACTCTAGAGGCAACTGCGCATCGCCTGACCATGGACAACAAGAGACAAGCACAGTAAGTAGAGCATGCTTCTTTAAAGTTTATTAGTAGTTTTGTCCAATATGGTAATCGTAGGCATAGCTTAACTTAACTGCATATCCATCTGTATCTAACTGTCCATCCTTTTATATTGGAAATTAAATACAATGTACGTACATGATTATATTTTATTGGCCTCGTTCTTTTTATTTATAATGTTGTTCACAGTGATTACAATCATAATAGGTTTACCACAGGAAACATGGAATTCAATGTTATCATTTTTTAAATGCATTGTTTCAGCAAACTTAATATTACTTTTTTCGAGCTGAATCGTAGTTTTTTGGTTCCACAGGATTGTCCAGAATAAAGAACAACTGCTAGCAAAACTTGAGTTCAACAATAAGTCAATTCAACAGAAACTACACGCTGAGAATAGCAAGCTGTCTAGGTAAATAAATAAATAAGATAAATAAATTAAAGCGTTTAGACGTTTATCAGCAGTATATCATTTTAGCACTTTTTTGTCTTTTTTAAAGTAATAATTGGGTTTATCATATACATGTATATGTATCCAGGTGCTAGTTATATCCAGGTGCTAGTTATATATGCATGTCTTTCTATTGCTTTTATTCCTTGAAATGTAATATTCGGCAGCTTTTATTGACCTCATCTTTTGTTGTTTCAGTAAACTGGAAGAGACACGCAACGTGATTGGTAACTTAAGATATGAAAATGAAACACTGAAGCGCTCAATGAAGGGCCTGACTACCAGGAACAACCTTTTGAACAAGTACGTGAATTGAATTCTGTTCTAGAAGCACCGTTCTTTTAGAATTTTAATTCATAAAAATGACTGGCTACAATCTACTTTATAGCCACGGAACAATTGTCAATTTACATGTATTGCTGATTGTTCTTCGGGCGTTTACTAACGCTGTTTACTCTATGTCACGCACACAGGAGAGTGGCAATGCTCGATGAGTACTTTGAAAAGCAGCGATCTAGAAAGGTCTGTATCATGCCTCGTATATATTTGTTTTCATTTAAGTTTGTCAGAAAAATTGGAGGTGAAATTGAATTCTTTTATGAAATCTATATGGATACTTGTGCATCATTCACGAATTCTTGAGAGCCAAATAGACTGAATTCTAATTTTCTCTTGCTGGTAATTGTGCTTTTTGTCACTGAAAAATCAAGCCTTAACAAGTGACCAAGGATCCTTATGTCTAATCTTTCTAACCCTGACCAGCCTGAAGACCCAGCCACACCAAGCAGACACATGGCGTCAGCCAGGATGGGGGATGGAAGAAGGCGTCTGTTTGAGGAACGTGGGGAGGGGCATCAGGGAGAAATATTCTTGTAGAAAATGATAACGAACGTAATTTTTAATTTAATCTAATTTAATTTTAGTTGCATTTCATCTCATTTTTCCGTAACAATGGAATGAGATGAAATATTTAATAAATAACTTTTCTATATGTGAGCTGTATGCAATACAGAATTTTAAAATGTGTATGAAAATATGACAAGTTGTATGTGTATGTGTTTGTGTACCATATCTTGTCACGTGGATTTTATGAAAAAGCAATGAGCTGGCCTCATTGAGAAAAAATATTTTTGTATATGCATATTCCGTGCATAACACGTGTATGATGTCATTTGTACTGTCCTACACGTCTCTAGTGCCTAACACAATATTTATAACTTTTGCAACCAAATTGTTATACCAGGCACTTAAAATGCACTGTTGCACAGTATGTACGTATCAGAATACCTCAACAGAGGCAGAGTGCATATGTGGTAATTTGACATATGTGACAGGCAAAATGTGTGAACATTGTATTTTTTCTATGGAATAAATGGTACTGAATGTTCTACCGTGCATATCAGTCTAGTCTAGTCTTTCAACAGTGTTTTGTCAAAATAACCGGAGAAAGAATACCACAGAGGATACAGAGTGGATATTCTACAATTTGACATGTGATGGGCGAGAATCTGTGAACATAATATTTTTTCTATGGAATAAATGGTACTGAATGTTCTACCGTGCATATCAGTCTAGTCTAGTCTTTCAACAGTGTTTTGTCAAAATGACACAGAGGATACAGAGTGGATATGTGACAATTTGACATATGATGGGCGAGAATGTGTGAACATTATATTTTTTCTATGGAATAAATGATACTGAATGTTCTATCCACGTTCGTCTTTGTTGTAAATGACTCTGTTAATGGTCGAATGATTAAGGACAAATAAAATACTTTCAGTTTTGCGGTCTTTCCACAATTGTACAAATGTTTTTTTTAACCAAAATGAGGGGGGTATAAATGGGTATATGAGCTCTAAGGCATTGCAATTTTGCATAAGGCTTTAATAGAATTTAATCTCACAAATTTCAACTCAGAGGACCGGACATGTACTAAAAGTGTGTGAACATGACTAGAGAAAAGAAAGAAAGACCTGTCCTGTACACAACAAAACCTCAACATTGCCACAACCATCGTTTTTTAGCTATTAGTTCAAAGAGGGAATTATCAAAGATCTGATTTGCGACAATCAAAGACAGGCGTTTTGTTTTCAACCCTTAAAACTGCCCGCAGCACGATATGACTGCGACTTCACTTTCTTGTTGATGAAAGAATATTATGTATATGTAGTCACTACAACCTGGCACCTGCTTTGAGTAGCTAGTTTTGATTGGTTTCTAGCTGGAGAAAAGATTTTCCCAACAATTAGTCGGCGTTACAGGCAGTTAAAGCGACATAATTTGTAGAAATACTCCTTTGTGACGGATCCAGTTATGAATACAAAAAAAAAACAATGAAAACGAACAGTCAATTTTTTCTCTCGCTTGTGTGGACCGTGGATGGTGTGATACCTCATTTTGTGGAACGTTAAACTGGATACAGTATTAGCTTGATAATTATTGTCCAAATACTTGTACATACATGCATCTTTGAAGTATTTGATTGCGAAGGTATGGTTGAAATGGTCTAAGTAAATCCTGGACAGATTTTCGAAGTGTGCATATTACTTATGGAAATCATTTTACTGACACAATCAAGACAAATACTCAAGTATAGATCATTCAGAAGCATTTAATATCAGAAATTAATCATGATACATCGTTTGTCAAAATATGTTTCACATAATTGTCATTATATTCTTTGTCGTCGGGACAATACTGTACAAACGTACTGTCACGTGTACAGTCAACACTGTAAAAGATTATCAGAATGTCCGGTGAAGTGTTGCCAACCAACAGCAAGATAAACTGCGCCAATTAGGCCGCTGTAGGACGACTCTGACAGCAACAATTCAGTGTGCGAACCGAGCACAGTTTAATCAGGAGCTGACACAAAGAACAAAGATGGCGAACAACATGGCCGCCCCACGAGGCGGGTGACCTCCAGGGGTCATGACCTACACATGTAAGGTCAACCTTAATAACATAGTGGCGTGATCTCTTTTCCTTTCAAAATAGATTTACAATCGCCTACTATATTGTAACGAAAACAAAGTGTGAACAAATCTTTCTTGTTCTAAGAGACATCTTAATGACTAGTGGAATGATCTTCTTGTCGTCTGACATAAATCTGCGACCGTCTGCTTTTTGTAACGAGAACAGTAATGTTAACAAACTTTCTTGCTCTAGGATCTTCTTTTCTATACGTTGCGATTGTTAATAACAAGAATTCTCTTAATGTAAACTTTGCCATCTCTTCCTGCATAATAAAGATAGATATAAATGACTGATATCACTTGTGTTGGCTTACTTTCTTTTCCATGGGAGAGGTTACTATACTGGCATGATAAATACAGTGTAAGTTGTCGGAGAGTCTTAATTCAGGGTATATAGTGTCCATTTTGAAGGAATAAACTGTGTTTGAAATGTTCTGTCTTAAGAGTTCTGTAGTAGGATTATGTGGTTATAAAGTCTTTCAGGTAATCCGGTGGCTGGGTGGGTCGGCCTGATCGTCGTGGAGCTGGTGCGGAGGGGGGGTCAGGTGGGTGGTGTTCTCGTACTGCTACTGCAGGTGGGGTGGCAAGGATGTCAGGTGGCACAGGAAAGTTCTGGTACTGGTCCATTTCTGGTACTGGAGGTGGGGTGGCCTGGAGATCTGGTGGTGCCGGGAAGTTCTGACGCTCGTCGCTAGAGGCATACTCGGACTCAGACTCCTCTTCACTGCATGCTGGATGGCGGTCGTGAGGTGGGACCTGGTTTGGAACCAGATAGCACTCCGCCAGACGGATCTTGTAGGACCTAGACCGTAGCTGTCGACCGATGAACTTGGAGATGTATGCAAAGTCTCTGTGTACGGCGGTAACAATGTATTTGTTGCGAGTTTGTGATTTGGTTTTGTCGGCGTAGAGGTAAACCAAATCTCCAACGGTGATAGGAGGGGCAATTTTGACCTTTGTAGTAGGGGTTTTTGAGTTCGCACTGGGTGTGTGATTGTCCAATCGTCGTCGGTTCTGATCTTCTAGCAGAGACTTGTCGGATAGTGGGATTTGCTTGCCATTGAATTGGTCTCGTTGGAAGAGGTACTCTCTGGAGGACAAGCCATTTGAACGAACTTTGGCATTAACATGTGCTGTCACTACAGCAAGTTGAGCCGGTGTAATTGGCTGGCCTAGGGGATCGACCTTGCAAAGCTCTTCCCTAATCTCTCTGATTGCCCTTTCTGCCACAGGGTTCTTATTAATGTTCTTGTATTCCCCTATGTCAATCTGTAGGCGGTTCTCTGCTAGCCAGGAATCCTTAACCAGGGTTTGGAATCCCGGGGCGGGATCGCAGCGGATGGTGGCGGGCGGACCGTCCAAAAGGTGTAGAGGAGTGCACAAGGTAATCAGACCATCACGGAGAGTACTTGATGTTTCATCAGGGATGATTTGGGTGGTCGTATATGATGTACTGCACTCCCTGACAACAAGGATGTTCTGCCGGGCTCGTTTCATGACGTCCGCAGCGAACGTAGTGAAGATGGTCTGGGGAGGGGGCTCAGTCGTGAAAGTGGGTGGAACAGGGATGCGGCATTTGAGTGCTGTGCATTGATCGCATGCTGTTGTGACTTTCTGGACGACGGCGTCCATGCTTAAGGCATAGAAATATCTCGACATTACCGCCTTGAGCTGGTGTTGAGTCGGATGCCCCAGCTTCAGATGGATGGCAGTGGCTAGTCCGTGCACTACAGTACGGGGGACTACAATTCGGTCTCTTGCTACGCCAAACATGTCTCTGTTGGGCACAACCAGCAAACCGTCAGTAGTGATGATGGCCTTTGACAGGTAGGCTTTGATGTCTGCAATGTTCTTTTCTTTTTTGGAGGGGCGTGTGCCCTGCTGGAGATGGGCGTAGACACGTCTTAGTGATGCACAAGAGCTCTGGATTGCGATCCAAGCACTGCGGCTAGTGTAGATCGGACTGCTGAGGTCTGAATCTTTGCCGACAGTGGCTGTGTTGATGACTGGTTCTTCGCTTAGAGCTTGTACAAAGGAACATATTTGGCAGTGGCTGTCAGTACACTCCAACGGGTGACGGCTTGCAAAGTCTGTTGACAGGTTGTACTTCCCACCGATATGCTTGACGGTAATCGGAAACTGGCTGACTGCTGCCAAGAAGGTTGACACTCTTGGGCTGTACGAGAATTCGCCACGTCGAAGCTTCTCAACTGCTTCTACGCAGGGTTTGGAATCAGTAAGGATGAACGCTGGTTTTGTAGTTTGTATGAGGTAGGGCTTGAAGTGTTTCAGTGCTGAGGTGATCGCAAGGGCTTCCAGCTCACAGGGTAGCCACTGACGCTGGTATTTTTTTAATTGCAGCTGAAAAAACCCCCACCACTCTGGTGTTGTTGTCTCTGCGGATAAACAGCGTGGCACCTATTCCTGCTGGTCTTACTGCAGCGTCAGTAGTGATCCACAGTTCATCATCTGGTCTGGGCAGGACTACGGCTTGATGTGCGTCAAGGCCCCGCTGAGCCTTGCGGAACAATGACAGCTTGTCATCTGTCCACTGGATGGTATCGCTGGATGAACGACCTGCTACCATATCGTCCAATGGACCCAGGAGGACTGATGTTCCTGGAATGACGCGGGATAGAGCCTTGTAAGAACCTATGTACGATCTGAGGGCAGTCACAGATGGTGGTGGGGATGCTGTAGCCAGAGTGCACAAGGTGTGGTGTGAAGCTGATATGGTTCCCTGGTTCCAGTGCCAACCAAGTATGGTTGTCTTGGCTGGGCAGATGACAGTCTTGGTTGGGGACAGCCGTAGTGCGCAGTTGTGCAATGCCTTTAGGACAGCGTTCCAGTTGGCGAGGAGCTCTTCAAAGCTATTGCCTCCACAGTACAAGTCATCTGCTATTTTGGCAACCACTCCCTGCATCAGGAGGTCCCCCAAAGCGCGTGACATCAGTTCTTCCAATGCTGTCTCACTTCCGGGCATACCCATGGCGCTGCGACAGTATACCCTGATCCCCTTGAATGGAGTTACAATGCCGCAGTACTTGCGTGACGTGGGGTGTAAGGGTATCTGGTGATAGGCGGCTGTTAAGTCTGATACTATGATGTACTTCCAACAGGCAATTTGGCGCAAAACTTGATTGATGTTTGGGAGAAGGGATGGTTGAGGTTTGCAGTACTTAGCTACGTCGGTGAAAGCGGTTACCAGCCGGTGACCACCATTTGGCTTATTGACCAGAAAGGAGGGGTTAAGATATTCTACAACTGTATCTGCAGACTCTGGTGTACCTATCACACCCCGTGTCTCTAGCTCGTCCAGCTCCTGCTGTAACTGTACCAAACGGTTTCTTCCGTAAAGTGGGAGACGCCCTTTCCTTTGTGGTGGTTGTGCAGGGCCCATGTTTACTACTGCATGGATAGGACCAACCGCACCGTTGTAGCCTGGAAAGTTTGTGTTGAAGACCTCGTCAAAGTTCTGAAGCACAGATGACATGCGATACCGTTGTGTAGAACTAAGGATATTATCAGGGTCTAGCTGGACTGTGTCAGATGAGAAGGCTTCAGGCTTGTGCATTGGGACATGGGTAGGAACTGTGAGCTCTGTAGGTACATGTAGCTTATTGTCTGGGGGAATTTCCTCAACCGGAACCACCGGGATGGCATTGAATAAGTGCATGTGTTTGGTCACATGGACAGGTGAACTGGAAATGTTGGGTACTCGTACGTATCCTGCAATGTTCCGGTATGTCCCTTGTTGAAAAGCCGCCAAGTGCTCAGGAGACAGGGAGTTCTGACGGGGTTCCAGGGCGACATCTGGGTAGTTATCTAGTGCTGCTGGTAATTGAAGCTCCAGGTAATCGTTGGGCCAAAGTGTGGTTGATTTGTCGTGCATGCGGAGTAGATTGTTGGTGATGCGGTGTATGCGTGGTTGGGGTGGCTTCGAGGACGGTGAATAGTCGGTGATGGAGCCATCAGGAAGATGGATTTGACGTGTCTGGAAGTTGATGGTGAAACCGTTAGCTTCAAGGAAAGGACTTCCAGCTATGATAGGAGAGGCCAAGTCTGTTACCACGAGAGCGTCAAACCGAAGTGGGCTCTTGCGTCTGAAAAATGTGGTTCTGCACTCACCTAGGATACCGGTCATTTGTCCCCCATCTGCCTGGCTTGGTGTTTGCGAGGTGTTGGGGTTTATGCGTAGCCCCAGGCGCTTTGCCTCGTCGGCACGGATCATGCTAGACTCTGCCCCTGAGTCTAGCAGAATGCGGATTGGCTGCCCACCGTGGAAGACTTCCAAATGTGGGTAGGCACGAACGGTGACTCTTGACAGGAGGGGAGACTGGTCGTCAGCAAAGGACGTGGTTTCAGTGCGAAGGACGCTGGGTTCCTCTTCATCAGAAGGGTTAACATCACTGTCATCAGCTACCTCAACGGCTCTCGTTCGCACCATGTATTTTTTATCTTGTTCAGGTAGATATGGGCAAACACTCAGGTAATGATCAAACACTGGCCTGCCTGCCTGCTGGCAAAGTGGGCATGCTTTCTTCTGAAGCGTAGGTTTTGATCGACGGCTCCGGCCTTGTTGAGCTCTTGAGAATGGTTTGCGGGTCTGTTCGAGACGGAGGGTCCTGATCTCCTCATTACTATGGAGCTCATCGAGCAAAGATGTGAGTGCTAATGATATCTCTGGTTTGATGGAAGCCAGGGTCTTGTGTCTTAACTCTGAACCGTACCTTTGTTTCACAAGAGCGGGAAGATCTGGGTGGAGCATTTTGAGCCACAACAATACAATCATGTTTTCAAGGGACGGTGTGACCTCTTCGTCGGCAGTCACTGCTTCCCCCTGGTGGGTAATGCCCCCGCTGTCGTTAACAAATTGTCCTCCACCGCGGCTGTTAAACGTTGGTACAAATCTTCTGGACGCTCATTTGGCTCTTGCTTGATGTTGGCAATATCGAGGAAAAACCTCCAGTAGCTTGGAAACCAAAATGGAGGCGTATTGCCTGCCAGATATCAGACAATGATGTACTTGCCTTGATGATGCGGTTTCTTGTGATTATTGGGCAGAAGTTCGCTATTTGTCCCAGCATCAATTCTAAGCTCGCCGCCTTCTGCGCCGCCGTTCTGCGTTGCGCCACTGGGACGTCCTCCCCATCGTCGGCGAAGCCTCGATGTTCCACTGTTGGTGCCCGCTTCTGCCATGTTACGCCTTCAGCCAGGAACGGCGCGAAACTTTGGTCCAGAGATAAGACGTAGATGAGATTGCTGCGCCAATTTTCGTACGAGTTGATTGACTCCGTACGTGTCAAACACCACTGCTTCGGTGCCCGGTTCGCTGTTGCCATCCTGGTCGTTGTGAATGCGGTTTTCTAATTTTTTAGGGTTGACGGCGTTGACTCTGGATCTCGCCGCTGCCACCACGCCAATTAGGCCGCTGTAGGACGACTCTGACAGCAACAATTCAGTGTGCGAACCGAGCACAGTTTAATCAGGAGCTGACACAAAGAACAAAGATGGCGAACAACATGGCCGCCCCACGAGGCGGGTGACCTCCAGGGGTCATGACCTACACATGTAAGGTCAACCTTAATAACATAGTGGCGCTGTACTGTGCTCGATCCTCGTACATTGGGCATTTTAACAAAGTATGACACCACATCGGCACTCTTTTATAGAGAAATATTATTCCCCCAATATTATATAATTATTTTCTGTACATATTTGTGTCAATACCTGTCTGCTAATTAAAATCAGAAGGTGTGTTGTGCATCATTCAGTCACATACTGTACACACGTTTATACAGTCACATGTGCAAACTCACCATATCATATACATTTCTCTCACATGAAATTACTTAGATACAAACATATTTTTTCTCAATGAGGCCAGCTCATTGACATTGTTTTTTCCATTAACGGATACACCGCTGTACAGATAATATTATTTCAAATATACACGGTGTAGGGTTATTTTACAACTCCAAACAAGACATGCTTTATATTTGATACAGTGCACAACTGGCATTTATAATTCGACAGGCTGCTCCTCTTTCAATTGAAGTTCAAAGACAAGCTTCCTTCCATCCCCCATGCTGTGTTTGGATGGTGTGGCTGGGTCTTCCCTCTAGTGGTAACAGAAAATCAAATATGAGAAGGAATAGTATCTACAACATTAAATAATCAGGAGTATACCGTCTTTGTTCGTCTCAATTTGGCGCACATCTTCTGGCAAATGGTACAGCTTGGAGTTACACAATAGCCCAGTTATCATACCGAGACTATCAAATTCAGCTTATCAAGTGTTCTAGAGACTCTTCTAATGTCAGGATTGCCTTTTAGGACAAGAATTAAGCCTCCAATTTTCTGACAAAAATTTGTAAAATACAATTCACAGCATGTAACCTATTAACAGTACATGATACAGACCTTTCTGAATACACCCTTTTTCATGTGCTCCAACACACCCTTGAAGTCTGCTATTCCACTGTGTTAAAACAAAGGATAAAGTAAGTTCAATTTCTTAACAATAAACAATAAACTGTAAAGTGTATTAACATCACTTTTCTGCCCTTATTAAGAAATTAGTAATTGGCTTTACAATTCAAACACGATCAGAACAGTGCTTCAACTAATGAGATTTAAAAAAGCATTCAAGCATGTAAACTTTAAAAGATATTTTTTACCTGTTGATGATGTTGTCCCGGTCCATCAGAACGCTCAGCGAGCGCTTCAGAGCCTCGTTTGCCTGTTGTAATGCGGTGATCTTGTTGTTTGAGGATTTCTGTGATTTTTCCAGTTTACTGTGACAACAAAAGAAAAAGGTCAATAAAACACGTCTTGCTAATAATTAACACTTATACATTTGCAAACGCTATCATCCCGATTACAAGATATTAGACCTTAATTAAACTTGAAAAGACATGATTAGTTCGACTTAGACAAAATGGTTCGTACTCTGGTCAACCTAAAAAATAGAAAAGTTTATTTTTATGACTGTGAGTGATCTTTTACCTGGTTATCCTGTCATTCTCAGCCAGCAGCTTTTCGCTCGCGCAAAGATACAGCTGAATGGCCTTATTGCTGGTCTCCAGGTCAGCCTGCAGCTGTTCTCTATCCTCTAACATCCTGCAGAATGATAAAAGAGAGTCTATGAAAAAAATTAACGTTATAGGAAAATGGGAGGAGCGTTAACCTGAGGTGAACGTTAATATAAGGATTTTGCTCTGACAATGTCTTTATAAAATTGAAAATTTAAGAAAGAAAATCTGTAGTCAAAGGAAGCAGGTTCTTACTTTGCTTGTTTCTTATTTTCCAAAGTCAGCTGCTGCACAGTTGCCTCTAGGATTTCCTTCTCCTGTGCAGCTTTTTCCAGGGTGAGGTTGGCAAGCTCCCTGCAAAGAAAAAAAGAAGATTGCTTCTTCTGTGTGACAGGCATAAAGAAATATCTAAATGGAAAGATCTATATCTAATATAATGAATTTTCACAAAAAATGTCTGAGCATATTCTCTAATTATGCACTATAACAATAGTGTGAACATAAAACTACTATTAGTCAAACTCACTCAGTGACTGTGCTGTTGTCCTTTGTCAGCTCCAGTGACTCAACTGAAGATGAGTCCTCGGTGTCCTCTGCCGTGCTGCTATGGTCTGTATCTTCTTGCAGCTTCTGAAGTGTCGCCAGAACCTTGCTGTATGCCTTCTTGGCGAAATCTAGCTTTCTGCAACAGCAAAGTATTGATCATGAAAAACTGCACTACAGTACGTTTCTGAAGCTCTTTAGGGGATTCGTCTTCAATGAATTCTATCCATGGTTATGATATTTTGCGGAGATATTTCTTACTTTGCTTGTTCCTTGTTGACCAAAGCAAGCTTCTTTACAGTTGCCTCCTGAGTCTCCTTTCCCAGAACAACCATCTTAGTCTCTGCCAGCTCCCTGTGTCAAACACGCAGCGTTAATTTAACTACAAGGCATAAAATACCATGTAATGGCACAGGAGTTTGGATAATACAATGCAAAAAATCCGGAGAATCTGCTTATTATTTTCACCCTTAATAAAACGTCTAGAAGGTGGGTGGCGCAACACCTAAGCTAAAAAAAACATGAAATTTACCTGGTGAGATTGTTGTTCTTGTCTGAAAGAAAGCTGACTGAACGCTCCAGGGCCTCATTTTCCCTTTTCAACGCAGCAATCTCATCCCTTAAAGCACACTGAAACATTTCCAGTTTCCTGCAAAACAAAAGATGTGAAAAAATGTCACACTGATATGACATTATAACCAACGAAGTAATAATAGCATAAGACCTGAAAGAAACCTAGTTGATAAAAATAATACCTAACAAAATATTCTTCAAAGATTTAGTAGCTCCAGTACGGAATTATGGATCTTAAACTCAAGGCAATGCTATACAATAACCGAAACTCGATAGGATACAAATAAAAAGTTAGTTTGTACAAATAGTTTAAAATTTTGAGTGAGATTTGGCTTTACTTCTTACCCCAGCTCTTCTTGAAACATATCTCGCATCTCGGTCTTGCTCTTTCCCACACGATCTTCCTCGGCGAGCTTGGACTCCTCAAGTTCTCTACAGTAACAAATAACACACTGAATCAGACAATGCAATAAGTAGTATAAAACATATCATGACAAATCATGACCAAAAGCTATCCACTGCACATTGGTCTAGTCATGTGTCTTGTGCATGGCTATATGTATTTCTTTAAGTGTAGAATCATGTAGTCCTGATATATTCAAATAACATTAAGTATAGCTTACTAGCTTATGGCAGACATCTTTACCAAACAATTAATAACCAAAGTTAATAAGTTTATATACATACTTTCTAAGCCTTGCATTTTCTTCTTGTTTCTGTTGAATTGTAGCCTGGAGACACTTCTTTACTTTTGCGAACGCGTCTGTTGCATTCTTTGCAGTTTCTTGCAGTTCCCTTTAATAATGACAATGACAATTATGTTTATTTCCACATTCATGCCCATGAGAACTAAGCGCAGTACATATAACACACTGAATCAGACAATGCAATGAGTAGTATAAAACATATTATGCAAATCATGACCAAAAGCTATCCACTGCACATTGGTCTAGTCATGTGTCTTGTACATGGCTACAGACATGTATTTCTTTAAGTGTAGAATCGTGTAGTCCTGATATATTCAAATAACATTAAGTATAGCTTACTAGCTTATGGCAGACATCTTTACCAAATAATTAAGTTAATAAGTTTATGTACATACTTTCTTAGACTTGCATTTTCTTCTTGTTTCTGTTGAATTTTAGCCTGGAGACACTCCTTTACTTTTGCGAACGCTTCTGTTGCATTCTTTGCAGTTTCTTGCAGTTTCCTTAAAAAGAAGTAATGACAATGACAACTAGAAAAGTAACATTTGCAAAGCAAATGCAAAATGTTTACCTTCGGACATGGTCTGCCCTGTTAATTTTTACTCAAACATATTCACATACATATACTACTAGCATATGGTGCAGAGCAGACCATGAAGTTTGCAACATTATGTAACCCAACACCAGTCACCATGGTAACAGACGTCAACAAATCATGTCATTGGCCAGGTCAAAGGTTAGTGTTTGGAGAAGAGGAAATTGAGTAAAAACAATATGTTTTCCTTCGGTAAACATAATGTTTGTGCCCATGAGATTCATGCCCATGAGAGCTAAGCGCAGTACATGTAGTTTCACTTGAGTCGCATAGACACTAAAATTCTACAGAAGTGCTACGCTACAGTTAACAGTTATAAAACATTAACGACAATAATGACAATAATTATGATATAAAATGAATATGGTTGTGAATGAATAAATGAATAAAAATATCATACATTATGAAACATTAAGGAAAATAAAAAAAAGAAAGACAATAAATCTCATGTTCATCTTACGTTTTACCTTATGTCCAAAAGGGAAAAAGATTCCAATAGAGGTTACACTGTCTTTATCGATATGTTCGGCATAATATCTAATATTAGATGTTCTTAGAATCCATCCATATATCACAAGGAAACACATACTTGATCAGCCTCGCATTGTCTTCTTGTTCTTGCTGAACTGTGGCCTCAAGAGACTCATTGGCTTTTGCAAATCTCTCTGAAGCCTTCTTTGTCTCCTCCAGCTCCCTGTGATAATGAAAAAAAGATTTGAAGTAAAACTATAAGATCTATAAGAAAGAATTTTAGATTCTATTTAGAGAATCCAGTAACAA